GTACGGTGTCGAATAATTTCGTGTCGAATCGTACGGTGTCGAATAATTTGGTGTCGAATCGAGCGGTGTCGAATCGTACTGTGGTCAATAGAGTGTCACCCGTCACAATCCCATGCGCGCGGGATGTCAGAATTAAATGACGCGTGAGGTTCAGCTCAAACACGCGGTAGTGAACGTACAATCACCGGAAAATGCGTGTTTCGCGTGGGCTGTGGTTGCCGCGTTGTATCCAAGTGCTTCACATTCCGAACAAATATCACAGTATCCCGCGTACGCAAGTGTGTTGAACCTTGATGGAATAGAGTTTCCAATGACGTTGCATCAAATCACGCGTTTCGAACGCAACAACAACGTGTCCGTAAACGTGTTTACGGCAGCGGAACAGGGACGCGAATACGTGCCGCTGCATCTCACATCAAACAAGAAGGACAAGCATGTAAATCTGTTGTATGTTCCCGATCAACAAGATCAACAAGGACACGTGGGACACTTCGCGTGGATAAAAAATTTATCGCGTTTAGTCAACTCGCAATTGAGCAAAATGAAGACAGCAAAGTACATATGCGATTGGTAAGTACGAACAAGTGGTGTAACAGTAACAACAATGTTGAATAAAAAGTAAATATCTACAATTGTGAGATGGTGAACTCATTAATTAATGTTGTGTGTATTTGTCCGTTTTTATTGCAACACGTACATAGATGTCTACACTACTTCTACACAAGCGATAAGCTAGCGGTACACACCACGGATTGTGAACAAATCAACAACAGCGCAATTGTTCTTCCCGCTGTGGGATAGAACTGTTTAACATTTGAGAATTACAACAACAAGGAACGGGTTCCAATGGTGGTGTACGCCGACTTGGAGTGCGTACTCGAGAAACAAGACAAAGAGGAGAACGCAACGAGCGCGCACAAGTACCAAAAACACAGTGCGTTCAGCATCGGTTATTACGCGAGCTGCGAGCACATAGACATCGGATACAGATCTCACAGAGGTGAGAACTGTGTGCAGTGGTTTGTAAACAAACTGCACGATCTCGCGAAACGTGCGAAGACCTTGTTCGCGACAAATGTACCCATGGCGAATCTCACACCGGCGGAGCTCGAGCGGTTTAGGAACGCCGAGTGTTGCCACGTCTGCGAACAACCGTTCNAGCGAGATGACACGAGAGTGCGCGATCACTGTCATCTGACGGGACGCTTCAGAGGACCCGCGCACTCCGCGTGCAATCTCAATTACAAACAGGTCTACGTTGTTCCTGTTGTGTTCCACAACTTATCGGGATACGACGCGCATTTTATTATCAAGGATGTGGCCAACGCTTTCGAGGGTGAGATCAACGTGCTGCCTGTGACAAAAAAGACCTACATATCGTTCACGAAACATGTGAGCAGTACTCGTGATGAAGACAATTAGAAGTGTGTGCAACTGCGGTTCATCGATTCGTACAAATTTCTGAGCACAAGCTTAGAAAAGCTCGCGTCCTATCTCGACAAGAGCGAATTGCGAGTGACTTGAACGGAATTCAGCGATCTCTCCACTGAGGACTTCAAACTGCTTACGCGAAAAAGTGTGTTTCCATACGAATACGTGGACAGCGTTGACAAATTGGTGGAAACAGGTTTGCCGCCGCGCGAGGCGTTTTGCAGTTTGCTGACCGGTGAAACTGTGACGGAGAGCGAGTACGCGCACGCGACGAACGTCTGGCAACGATTTAACATCGACAATTTGGGATCTTACAGCGATTTGTATTTGAAGACAGATGTACTTTTGCTGGCTGATGTATTCAAAAACTTTCGTCGCGAATGCCTCGCGAGTTACGGACTGGATCCCGCGCACTACTACACGCTGCCGGGATATACATGGGACGCCATGTTGAAGCACACTTGTGTGACGTTCGAGCTGTTGACTGACATCGACATGGTGATGTTCGTGGAACGCGGCATACGCAGTGGTTTGAGTCAATGTTCGAACAGATACGCCCGCGCCAACAACAGGTACGCGCAATCGTACGATCCATTCGAACCGTCGTCGTATCTGATGTACTACGACGTTGACAATCTCTACGGATGGGCGATGTGTCAACCGCTTCCATATGGTAACTTTGCGTGGGTGGAGAACGCGTACGAGTTTGATGTGACGACGGTCGCCGCGGACAGCGACGTTAGCTACATACTCGAGGTCGATCTGACGTATCCGAAAGAACTGCACGACGCGCACAGAGACCTGCCTTTTTGTCCAACNCGTGAGGAGCCGCCTGGTAAACATGGAAAGAATCACATCAAATTGCTCGCTACTGTGTTCAACAAGAAGCGATATGTAATTCACTACCTGAACCTGCAGCAATGTCTGCGATACGGGCTTCATCTGACGCGAATACATCGAGTACTGCGGTTCTCGCAATCGCCTTGGCTGCGCGGATACATCAAACTAAATACCCGATTCCGCGCGAACGCCACCAACAAGTTTGCAAAAAATCTATACAAACTCATGAACAACGCGGTGTTCGGCAAGACTATGGAGAACGTGCGCAAGTACACCGACGTACGACTNGTTACAAAATGGGAAGGACGATGCGGTGCGGAAGCGCTATTTGCAATACCAAACTTCCACAGCCGCAGCGTGTTCGCTGAAGATTTAGTGGCCATAAAACTGCGTCGTCTGGAAGTTTTATTTAACAAACCGTTGTACGTCGGTATGTGCATACTTGACATATCAAAGACTTGTCTATACAAATTCCATTACGACTACATGGCACCGTTGTACGGTTACGATTGCAAGATCCTCTACACCGATACCGATAGTTGAATATACCACATAAAGTGCGAGGATGTGTACGAGGATATGAAGCGCGATATCGCTCGTTTTGATACGAGCGACTATCCAGCGGACAATTTATACAACATACCTCGCGCAAACAAGAAGGTACCGGGACTTATGAAGGATGAGAACAACGGTGCTGTTATGACTGAGTTTGTGGGTTTGCGCGCGAAAATGTACGAGACTCGAGTGGGCGACAGCAAGTGCACAAAGAAGGTAAAAAGTGTGAAGAGAAGCGTCGTCGCGAGAACGATCACATTCGACGACTACGTGCAATGTCTGCGGAACGCAACCGAACTGACGCGACAGCAGTCGTGCATACGATCGCGGTTGCACGAGGTGTTCACCATGTCGGAACGGAAGCTCGCTCTGAGTCCGTACGACGATAAGCGGTACATCATCCATGGATCAACCGACATCTTACCATGGGGTCACTACAAGATCTCTAACTTAGACTAATGTATGTTGTTGATATAATAATAAAAATAATACATTAAATGAAGTATATGTATATGTTTTTTATTGTATTAAAAAAAAATATACATATGTATTCCTTTGTAAAGATAAGAATTAAAGAGAGTACACATAGCGTAATAATATTAAACCACATTGTTCTTATTTATCCAGGAATTGTGTGAATTGTTTAGTCCCAACCACTTGACCAACACCTCGTTGCCTCGACGACGCAGAACCTTTTCTACGAGATACACATCCGGATGTTTAACCGCATGCAACTCATGCTCATAAAATCCACCGGCTATTGGTTCACCGCGATAATCCTCGAGCAGGTAGGTTGCTGGTAAAGTTTGTTGCACCTTATTAACGCGGAACACCTCGGTGGTCCAGTTTGGTGTGTAACCCTTTGCAAAGACAGTTTTGTACTTGCTCACGCGCACAGGATCGCCTACTCGGAATCGCGTCGGTCCTGCGATTTTAACGTTGCTGTAAACCGTGCGCAGGAGTCGCTCGCTCGAAGCCGGCGTTACGTCGATCGGTCGCGCGCCGATGGTGCGATGCTTGCGCGCGTTGTACTCCGCTACAAGTCGCTGCAAATCGTCGATCCAGCGATACGATCCGTTTAACGTAAACATTTTCCACATGTTGTTCTTGAGCGTGCGATTGAAACGCTCAACCACCGACGCTTTTATAACAGAATATGTGGAGTAGTGATTGACACCGCGCCGACGCATAAGATTTTCCACATCCGCGTTGTAGAACTTCTTGCCGCAATCAGTTTGCAGATTTGTCGGACAACGATCGTCGGCGCGAAAGATCTTCGCCAACGATCCAGCGACCTCTTTGCCGCTCTTGCTCTTAAGCGGCAACGCCCACGCGTACTTGCTCAACACATCGATGACTGTGAGAATGTAGTTGTGACCTTTGTTCTGACGAACGTAAGGACGCATCTCAACCACGTTGGCTTGCCACAGATCGTCGTAACCGCGCACTATGACTCGTCTGCGTGGAAAGTTGCGTCGCGCGGGCGCGTGCAGCTCCTCTGCGAGCTCTCTCTTCTCAACGCTCATGTTTTGTTTTGTCCCGATGTTATCTGTTTGTTTTTCTCAACCAATTCTTGTACAGTCTGGTAAATGGTGTGCAAATCATAACCCAGATTGTTCGTTTGCAAGGAACTCAGATCATATTTTACCTTGTTCAGAGATTCCTGTAATGGTAAAATATATGTTTCCAAAACTTTGTTAGTCAAGCCAGCGTTTTGCGTACGAATGAATTCTTGAACATGTGTCGGAACGTCGCGCAACAACTCGTTCACATTCGTTTGCAAAGATTCAATCTGCTTTTTCAGATCTGTGTGTGTATTTTTCAGCTTATCCAATTGATTGTTTTTTTGCAGACGCTCAACGGTCTCTTTAAATGTTTGTTGTAATTGAATCAAGTCGTTTCTCAAGGTTTTGACTTCTTGCGGATCTGCACCCCGCGGCCTCTTCTCCAGCTTATTCAATCGATTGTACGCGTTTGTTTGCAGATGCTCAATGTCATTGCTCAGTTCTTTGCTCAAATATTCCAAGCGGTTTTTATGATTGTTGAACAGATGTCGATCGACAAAATGTTTCACATGACGGCGATATGCGGCGTTGATCCCTTGCGTGACAGTGTCGTCTACGTCTAACTTGGTCGCGGCGTCAGAATTGTTTCGCGGTTTCTTCAACCGAGTTATCGCGCGTTTATTAGCATCGTACTCGTCTGATGACGCGGATAAACAGAAAGCGCAGTTGCGTACGTAATTGCGCAAATTAGCTAGTTGAAAGCGTTCTTTGTTATTGTAGTAGTAACCGCGTCTTTGCAACGTCGAACCAAACTTGTTGACGCTCATCGCGCGCAAACGGAACTGTCGACGCACAGTGGAGCAAATGACCGAAAAAGCGGTAAAAAGTTATTTTAAAAAAATATGCAGATAATGAAAAATTTATTCGCCAATTGTTAATTACACATATAGGTCATCATTTAGTGCNACTTTTTTTATTATTTGTCAATGTCGAACACAGCTATAAGGTTTTGAAATGGCCATTAACGAAAACACCAAAAATTACAATCGTTGTTTATAATNGTTTTGTTTGTTGAATTGTTTAATAAATAACAGAAATAAGTGTACTTAGTATATACTTGAATGACATTAAATTACATTTTTATGTCTCAAATAGTTTTTGAGTTATTCTTAATTGGATTAATTAAATGTTAATCCTATTAAATAATTATGAATTTAGCAATATTCAATGTTNATATTGATCACATTTTAAAGAGTAAAGCCTCACCTTTGTTTAAAAAAGAAAAGTAGCTGCTATTAGCTGCTACTGAAAAAGTTACAGAGGTAAACATTTCCTCTGATACTAAGAAATATGTGTTTGCTGTGCGAGCGAGACCGATCACTCTCGGTCGCATTCTCGGTGCGCGCTAGAGAAAATCGCGAAATTCATTTGTTTGTTTT